TAAATACAAAATATCAAACTAAATAATTATTTATTTATACACAAAAACAATCAAAAATACATATGAGCATGTGACATTGTCAAGTGAAAATACATATATGTTAGAACATGAAGCTTGAAATCAAGTGTAATAAAATGTGATATGGTCCTGTAAAATATAAATATCTGTAAATTATTTATTCACTCATATATTGAGTAAAATACGTTTATTCAAGCATTTTTTAAAAATATTTAATAAAACTAACTCTACTTCAATGATATATTTTTTTTTACAAAATTTTACATTTTACAGTCGTTTTCATTTTATTTTCAAACAACAATTTTCGATTTATTCAAATACGATTTTAAATCTGCATGTCTAAATTGACTGCAATCTCCAGAAAATAATCAAATGCTTTAGAAATGTGTTAAATCCGTGCTGTTCATCTGCTAGTGTGCTCGTCAACTACTGCTCATTTAGTGGTTGTAGTTCTGACACTAAAATAATCCTCAAAAGTTTAAAAAACTAGTGTTTATAGTAAGCGCATCTAAGGTGCAAAATTTCATAGATTTTCAATGATAGCATCTCTGTAGTCTAACGTGTAAATGTAATCAAACTATACATCCACTTCAGGAACTGAAAAATATAACGATATACTCGGTGTTTAATTTCCGATTCACTTAATGCTCACCTGCAATAATAATGTACGATTAATTTCTATTCCACCGTAAGTTATAAAACTGAAAGGTTTTTCAGATGTATGCAACAGTAACAATAAAGTTCTCGTGTTGCTTACGTTCCAATACATCCATGGACATTCTGCTGCCGTTTGAAACAACGTTGAGCTCTAAAAAATGTGAAATCTAAAAGTATTATGAAAAGAATATGAAAAAAAATATAGTTTTTATGAATGTATTATTAGTTTTTAAGTTTTACCTTTCATACTTTATGATCTTAACTGGGTATCTACTTTAACCCTTTAACGCCCAAGTGCACTGTTAAGAGACATTAACTTAGAGGCTCATATTACTGATAGAAAAATAAAGAAAAAAATAACCAAAACCATGTATTCCTATGATTTTGAGGTCGCTCTTTCGAATGGAATCGTTAAAATTTGCAAAAAATTGATATACCCTTCAATTTTTAACAAAAACTATTAAAAACGCGATTTTTTTCAAGATTCTTTTTTTTAAATCGAAATTTCAGCTATGTTATCGTCCTTTATACCACTCAAAAACAAATAGAAACGTGCACTCGAGACGTGTACTTGAAGGAAACGCAATGAGAACAATTTGATTTTCTCATTTTTGAGGTTAGAATAACTAGATATGGCAAAATTCAAAAGGTGATATTTCTCGTTTTTTACCAGTTGCGGGATCATTGACGCAAAAGAAAAATTTTGAAAAATTATTAATGCTTTGGTGGTTTTTGGGGTCGCTGATTACGATCCTGATGTCAGAATTTCAAAATTCAATTTGATTGATTGATTGATAAATAATGAGATTTGTAATAAACAATTTAAGGTCTATTAAAGAAAAATTTAAAAAAATAAGTGGTCAATTTGAGAATTAAAAAAAAAAATTAAAATCTTGAGCACTTCCAAAGAAAAAAATAATGTAGATTAAGATGTTTTTTTGTTTCTAAGTGGTGTACCAAGACTGCTACAGTGTACGCCAATTTTTTCCTACAGAAAATAGAATATTTCATGTTACCTGGAGCTACGACGCTATTTTGTAACTTAAATGGAAGTAAAAAAATACTTTTGTATACATTAATACCCATAAATTAACGTGTCGAAATTTCGTTTTGATCCATTACATAGGTATCGAAAAAAAATTACTAAAAAAAGCTTCAGTTTTCAGTGCGCCTGGGTAGTCAGGTTAATTCAGTCGTCCTCATTGTTGTATGACATTCTAACAATATAATATTCTGCCTTTTTTCTGCGCATACATCAATGTGAAAAAATAACCTAGTATTTTAGGTTATAGTTCTATTTGGTTAAACTAGTTCTATTCTTTAAAAGTATGAGTACATTACCACTTATATTGACGCAAATACGGGGCCGTACTGGTGGAGTGCTTTGTGTTGTTCTTCTTTAATTGCAATAGGAAATGATACGATCATCATCAATTCTCCCATTACTATTAAAAATGCTAGAAGTACCTTAACTCTCACTGTTAACCAATTTGGTACTGTCTTACCCAACAAGTACGTAAAAAACTGCAAATCGTCATCTGAAATACAAATATACATACACACGTATGTTGCTAAAAACTGTAATCATATGAGAAGCACGTACGTACTCCATGTGCTAGTTAAAATAGTATGTGCAATAAGTATATCCATTTTTTGTTATGGGCCAATCCATATGAAATCGTCTAATTGCCGACCCATTTTGGATTTTGCTATAACTTTGAGGGACTCTTCTTTAGGGTCCCAAAGAACCAAATTATTTACGCAAATTTAATTTTTACAAACGCTCGTTTCCGCCTATTCGAATTAAAACTTTTAATAAAAAATCGTCATTTTTATGCTTTACCAAATTTAGCTCTAAAATTTTTCCTTTTTAAGATATCTACCCGCTTGAGGCGGCATTTTGAAGAGGAAATATGGCAGTTTTAGTGTAAGCCTCAAAAATTCGATCAGACAATACCTCCGAATAATGGCAGCGTGTTAAAATTAAGTGTTTTTTTACTTATTTTTTTTGTGAATCTTAATCGACTCTAGCGTCTTGACTGTTTAGAGTAAGCAGCTTATGTTACTCAGGAATTAAGTGTACATATCATAGATGAAATACAGCCACGAGTCGACCTGAGCAGCTGACTCCTTATAAAAAACTGCTTGAATTTTCGAAATCTTTAAAAATCGCATTATTGAGGTTATGAAAAGAACGTGTTGACTGCGTGATAAAAATATGAAACTTACAGAATCTATAGTTCTTACCTTTAACTTCAAGTGACTGCACGCTCGTTTTGTTATTTTTATGTTTAGTGAATGTAGGTACAAGTGTTTTTTTTTTGTAGCGAAAATTGACCTAATTTTTTTATTTTGTAATCTTATAATTTCAATTGTAGTTGATTATACAGATAGTATACATTTTGCCATACTCCAAAGAATAATTATTTTTGTTCATAATTTATTTTAATGCATTTGTTAAACCATATCGAATAAGAAACTGTAGAGATAAAAGGACCCGAAGTTGAATAAAAATATACGATATAATCTCTATTTACAAAAAGTAATCAAGTACAATTGAAATTATAAGATTAAAAAATAAACAAATTAGCAATCAAAAAAATATAAAAAATAAAGAAAATATTCTCATATTAAAATTAAATAATTTTAAAAATTTCAAAATTAGAGTTTTAAAAAAATAATAATTAAAAGTTTATTAAAAAATAATAAAAATATTAACTCATATTCGGAGGTATTGACTGACGAATTTTTGATGCTTACACTAAAACTGCCATATGTCCTCTTCAAAATGTCGCCTCAAGCGGGTAGTTATCTTAAAAAGGAAAAATTTTAGAGCTAAATTTGATAAAGCATAAAAATGACGATTTTTTATTAAAAGTTTTAATTCGAATAGGCGGAAACGAGCGTTTGTAAAAATTAAATTTGTGTAAATTTTGTTCTTTGGGACCCTAAAGAAGAGTCCCTCAAAGTTACAGCAAAACCTAAAAGGGGTCGGCAACGATTTTTGTTATTTTGAGATGATTTTATATGGAATGACCCTTATACAATTATAAATAAAAATCTAGATACAGGGTGTTTCACGAAGTTCTCCTAGCGTTCAAGAAACATGTTTTAGGCATTATTTGAAGCAAAAACTGCATGTATAAAACTAGAAACTACGTATCTCGGAGGCTTGTGAGAAGACAGTCTCAAACTCATTGGATTTGAGGCTGTATTGTCAGAGGTTTCTGAGGGCTATATTGTGAGAGCTATATGACAATAATCTCCTGTGTGTCTGACAGTCAGAATCCTCAGACTCAATATCCTCATAACCCTATACCCCAACCCTGAACCCAATAATCTAATTACCCGGTAGCTGCGTATATAGAACTAAAAATGACGAATATCGGAGGTTTTTTAGAAGACAACCTCAAATCCAGTAACCCCAGTCTGAAGATGGGAGTTTTGCAGAAGAAGCAATTGTAGAAAACATTTTTAGTATCACTCTTCTTCAGCCTGGAGCAGTTGTAACTGTATGAGAGATTGATCGGGATTTGGAAAAACAAGTAAAAATAAGAGAAGAGGAAATAAACATAAGGATAGCCGCAGGACAAAACTAATAGTTTTTTCGCTTACCTGCCACATAACCTTTTTGTCTATTAGACAACGCTAAATCTGCATACATATTGCGTTCAACGTATACGCGTTAGAGTTAGACAGACTAATGGAAAACCTGAACAGAAAGCTGAACATCATTACAATTATTTATTAAAGATTTACAAATTTATCAGTTATTCTCGTGCTTAATATCAAGAAATTACTGAAGCGCAGATAATAAAATTAAATAAAATACTCCCTCATAATTTTTCCATCTAATCTCGTATCTAATTACTATGAATTATGTATAAATAAAAACTATAAAAACTTTGGATTAATGAGACCTCGTTTGAAAACAAATTGCGTTGCAGAGAAATAAGAACAGTACGTTTCTTATAGTGTATGTCTCATTTTTTTGTCACTCATTGCATTGTACACCATTCTATTTGATGATCAGATGATTAGGAAAATTACATGTCACAACTACCTACTTACATAATAAAATAAATACTTAAATAAACAGTTAAAAAATATGTAGTTTAATTTAATTAGTTTAATTTAGTAGTTCAACTACTTACATATACAGTTTGTGTAAAGCCGATATCGGCCGGTTGTGAAAAAGGACAAATCACACCACCACACCACAGAAATTGACATTCTCCCTCTAAGAGTCATTACAACTGTGCAGAAGGAGAATACACATGGAAAAGACGTAGGACACACAACCAAACCCTGTGACAGGTGTCAATTGCCACAGGCGGGATTCGAACCCGCGTGGATAATAGCTCTCTATATGGAGTAATCGCCATCTACTCACCTGGCGCTTTATCCACTGAGCTATCGCCGCGGTTAAATGTTGCTTCTTATCTGTCGTCTCACTTCTGTTCGTCCTTTTTCATAACTGGCCGATGTCGGCTTTACACACACGGTATACTTTCGGATGCATCTAACCGTCTACTGTATGTTACATTTCTTATTAGTTTTAAACCATTAACATCGACGCCATTGTCAAAAGCATGTTGGACCGCACAGGTTTTTTCTGTTTAGATTTTAAGTGAGCTACACGTTCTTTGAATCTAGTTAAGACCGATCTTGTTGTTTGCCCAATATACTTTTGTTTACAATCTTTACAACTTATTTCATAAAGTTTTTTAATTGCCTCATTTTTAACCGTTTGATCACCATGTATGTGAGAAATCGCGTGTGTTGGAGACTTTTCGAATTAAAATTCATGTTCAGGTCCCTAAAAATATGGTAGTTTCGATCAAAGCAGTACTTTTTGCAGAACAGCGTAAAAGTTTTCGGCACGTCTTTCTCGTATTTCTCGTAATTTCGGGGACCGTTTAAGCCAGCTTTATGTTGCGTTCTTAACCATGATCTGGAATACATCCAAAAGTCAACAGCCAAATGCTACATCATTTTTGACAATCGAGGAAAACCGTAGGTACCCGTACCCGGTGGGACTTCCAAAAATACCGTGTGTCCTCCTGTCAGGCGCCCAGTGTTAGTATTTTCGGTTTATCATGTTATAATAATACATAATTAGTGGTGGTGCTCGGGACGAATCCTTAAGAAGTGGTGTGAGGTTTCCTGGCCGCGATTCCGCCAAGGCGCAGTCCTCAGTTGACGAATCGCAGCAGGTGAGTTGAGCACCTGTCTTTCACGGCGCTCCATCGACTTCAAAGACGGGCAATGGTGTGGCGCCTGTCATATCGTATTATTTATGTGCATTTACCCGTAATCGGCTTCCTCAATGGACTATTTTGGCTTATTTATAAGAAAGGCAACATAATTTTCAATTTAACACAACCCTGAGAAAAAAAGGTCCAAACAAAGCTTTTGTAACTGATATTTTGTGGTGAGGTATTATTCCAGCGAAATAAACTGTGAAACATTGAAATTATGTATCAGTCGCTTCCCTTTATTAATATTGTAGATCATGTAAAATGTTTAGTTTTATATCCATCCAAAAAAAGATGTCATCAAAGGGTGTTTCATGCTGCAAAATTTCTTGTACACCAAACAAATTTTAAGTTTGATCAGTCAGGAGGTTTTTTCTGATTGGCTATTGGGTGTGGAAAATTGGGTATTGGAAAAATTGACTATTAGTATTTTTTTTCAAGAAAATAATAGTTATTTCAGCCAAACACTTCAAACGAAATTTGAAAAAAAAGATGTGCCCAAAAGATCTTCGAAATTTATTGCAATTTTTTTTTATTCTTATGCTTTTTGCAAAATCTTCATTATGCACAATTTCCAGGACGGTGTTCCAGGAAAATCTTATGTTGCCCAACACGTTTTTGACAACAACCATAGGATAGACATAAATTATTTAAAACTAATTAGAAATGTAACAAACAGTAGACTGTGGATGCTTTTGAAAGTTTAGAAATAATTAAGTGTAACAATAGTATTAATAAGGACAATGGTCCGATACCCACCAGTCCACTGTTTGCTCTGATAAACAAAGACAGTTACGGTTCAGTGAACCATGGCAACAAATTTGGTATACATAGTGCAAGTGTGTAGGCTAGAATTTAGTTTTAATCTTCTCCTGAAGATATCAACTTGGTTGGCGAAACGCGCGTCGAGAAGAATGTAGTAGTTCGGTGTTTCGTGGAAAACGTACAGTTTTTTTTTTCAATTGATATTTGATAAAAAGCGTCCTTTAAGTAAACACATCATCAATATTATCGCATCGATTGCCGTCAGATCGAAATGTCACCTCTAACAGATAATATGCTCATTATAAAGATACATCCTTTAGATTAATGGTTTCTGTTCGCATGCACGGATGGCACATAATAAATGTATTTGCGGCAAAACACCGATGGGGATGATCGAACACCCGGTACCCGCACGTGCCATTATTTCGAAACGGACAAGGAGCGGTTTTGCATTTAATAGAGGACTCGTGCCCGCATCATAGATACAAAATTATCCGTTTAAGCATTCTGAATACGATGAAAACATATGATTGCTCCTAATTCCAAAATATTTCTGTTAGAAGACGGAGTAAAAAAAACTCTGGATGTTTTTAACGAAACACTGATCTACTATAATTTTCTCGACACGCGTTTCGCCAACTGAGTTGGCATCTTCAGGAGAAGATTAAAACTAAATTCTAACCTACACACTTGCATTATTTATACTTAGTTTGTCGCCACGGTTCACTGACGGTGAAAATCTGTCTTTTCTGTTTATCAGAGCAAACATTGGACTGGTGAGATCGGACCATTGTCTTTATTCATACTATTGTTATACTTAATGATTTCTGAACTTTTAAAAACATCCAACTGTCTACTGTTTGTTACATTTCTAATTAATTTTAAATTATTTATGTCTATCCTATGATTGTTGTCAAAGGCATGTTGCCCAACACGCTTTTGACAACAACAATGCCCAATTTTTTTTCTACGCCGAAGGTTCCAGTACCCACTCCAGGATACTCTGGTTGTTTCGTTTGTGTTCCTTGATAGACATAATGTTGAGTGTTCACCAAATCACATTTAATACCACCTCAGAAAATGTTCACATACATTTAAAAAGTGTCGGTAGCTACAGATCATTAGCACGCCTTTTGGTCAGATTCAATTTAATGGCAGTTATGACTAGGGTCAGGAAATTGTGCTACAACGCAGGGTCGGACTCGTAATCCGTCATATCATTGAGGACATATGAGAGACCAAAAAGACAGGAGCAAAAATCACTTGTGTCGGTCAGAAACACCGACTGTCTTCATAGCTTGAGCGTACTTTGCCACAACCAGTAGTCTTTCTGCATTTCTTCTCGTTAAAGGTGAGCGATTTGGCCTGTATATATGGCTGTAGAGAGAAAATGATCGTTCCACATCTACTGAAGTTAAAGATGCAAATTCAAAATAGTTCACATGGACAGAGGAGGACACAACACGCACATTATTTTGACGAATTTTGCACAGTTCTATCACTAACAGTTGTTTGTTGTCACTAACATCAGTGCATTATATATTTTTACATCTACAGAGGACAATGCACGTGTCATTACGGGGTCTATATTTTTACTCGTTGTTTGCAAAACCTGTTTAATAGCTATCAGTACGATCGGGGCCGAAATATCTAAAACACCTAAAGTTCGTATCAGAACATTAACGATCTTATTATCTCAAAGATCAGTTATTTCGTCTACTGTTAGCCAAAGACATTTATTGCGTATGTATTCTATGACACGTCGATATGTCTTCTGTAAATATGTTCTACTCAATGCATGGCTAGTTGGCAATGGAAAATCGGATACATATTTGCCAAAAAACATATTTGTCAAATTAATTATTGTCGACCACGTTTCACGAAAGGTTACATGCGCAAAACATTACGCACAAATGAAACCAAAAGCTCCTATTTTCTAACAGTACCAGTACCAAGTTTTCTTAATAAACTCACGTAATATTTTCAAACTGTGATGTAGTTTATTCTTCAATTTAAAGGTAATTTCTGTTTCAAGTTATAGCACATCTTTCAAATAATGTAAGTTGACATGCCGCATTAAATAATGCATCAAATTTCATTTAGATTAAAATTCTGACTCAAAAAATTGAAACTTAAAATGTTTCCTATATGCTGCACACTTTCTGGAAGATACTGTAAGTTTTTCCAGAAGATCTAAGCACTTTTGGAAGATGTAGTATTATAAAAAACAGACAATTAATGTTACGTTCTGTTTCCTTACTCTCAATAGATACATGCATATGTATTTATGTCCGTTGGTAGTTCAGAATTAGGTATCTTGGATTTTATTCAGAGGGATGTGTCGGAAGTGGATAGAACACAAAAGAACTGAATCGTCAAACCTGGGAATTTCTCACTTTATTAGTTTTCACACACAGTAGGGCGATAATTGGGTGACCACCTCACACCTAAGGGCCATAAAGGCACATAATTTTGCTCGTTATCCGAGGATTATCGTCCGTTGGCGATGGTACCTCGTAAGTAAACAAATGCAAGAATTGAATGCAAAAGATTATCCGTGCCATCTGGAAGATTCAGCTTGACTTGTCTGCTGATGTACAATTACCCTTTCTTTACTCGCATTCCGAAAAAAAAATCATACACCAAAGGTAAACATAAGACTAGACTTTTATATCTTAATCTTGGTGTGGAGTTAGTGTATTCATAATTTTCAATGAAGTTGATATAAAGAACGCGTTTAAAAGCTCTGACGCTCTGTATTCTAGCCACCTTTGATTTATTATGCCGTTTTTCTTTATTCCCGAGTAACAAATATGGCTTCATGGGCATTGAGAATAATGTTACAGTGTTGAGTATGCCTCTTTCCGAGTTTTTTTGTTGTACAATTTTCAGGCATATTATTAGGAAAGAAAACATTCAAAATATGGCTAATTTGATTTAACATCCCTTAACATTTTTTCCCTTTATCCCTACTTAACATTTTTTTTCATATGTTTGTGTGCTGTTGAAAAAATAATTAACTTCTTTTGTATTTTCAAGAAAACAAAAATTTGTGAAAGAAGTAAACGAAATAAACCTAACTATGTGAATTAGATTTTATTATGTATGTACATGAAACAATATCTATTAACGTACTTTAAAATGAAAAGGTTGTTTGTAATTTTTGACAACTTTACAAAAGTTTGTTTACTTCCTGAAGTAAGTACATGAAGGTAGAACACCCTATATAATCCCTGGAACAGTAACATAATATGCATTAAGTATACCTACATACAGGGTGTTTGCTACTTGTGTTACAAACTTTGAGATCGTACAGGAAATTTAACGCTGAACAAAAAAAGGTCGTCTTCAACATTGAGGATTCTACGTTAAACTTTCTACGAGAAACAACCTCGCTTGA